TTCTTGTATACGGGAGTTCTCTCCCTTTTGATTAATACAATTTACCTTATCAAAAAAAAAAAAGTTCTCCAAAAGTCTAAAACTATTCCAAACTAGGAGATATCATATGTGTGGATCTTATTCTTCCGTTGTATCCTATCTTTAGCCAAGTCTGCATTGATTCTAAGGATTTATAGGTCTTTCGATACAACTTCTTTCCATTTGATTTTAGGTCCATCTCTGTATCTCGCCCCTTTTCAAAACCTTCGCTCATCATAGTTCCACATCTAAGCACCGATGCCTCTGTAAGGAAACACAAGGCATGGCCAAACCATCTCAAGCGGCGTTCTCTCATTTCATCCTCAATGCGTGCTACTTGCACCTTCTAGCGAATGCCAATTCAAGAGGAATCCTCTTAATATATATGTGGATTTTTATTTTAATGGAATCCAAGAGCTCTTGACCCTATTTATCCACGGAAGAAAAAACCCCGGTCATTAATGCTATAGCCACTGACGAGGGAGTTGATAACTTAGGCATGACTCTAGTAAAAAATAGAGAAGATGCTGTTTATACCCTTGTCCTTACAATTCTAGAACATTTCAATGGTAGATTTACCAATCAGCATGAGATTGTCCGTACTCTGCTAAATGGGCTTAGAGTAAGACCCTTAGTGAATTTAGATAGTACAAAGATACCTTTATGAGTAGGGTTATGGAATTACCCGAAAATAAATATGAGCATTGGAAAGCTAAGTTTATAGATGACCTTCCCTTCTTATTTTCTAAGGGAGTAAGAAAAGCATTAAGGGGTAGTTACGGTGAAATTCTGTATAAGAATTATACCTATGACAAACTTATAGGAGTTTGTACACAAGAAGGATTAGACTTGTGTAATGAGCTGAAACTATCTAGACAGCTTAAAATAGATAAGCTTAAAGAAAAATCTCAATTAGGAGAAGGGTGTGCATTCCCCAATAAATGCAGCAAAATCTACTGTATCGGATAATGATACAGCTAGTCCGGTTCAAACGATGACCAGTAAAGACACATCAAATCCGTTTATGGCTGTCACTTTGCCAAAAAGTGAAGATGAAGGTTCATCAAGACGAAGACTACCTAGAACATTAACACAAGGAGAAACATTAAAAAAGAAGGGTATAATTCGTAAAAAGAAAAAAATGAGAAAATAGAAAACATAATTAAACTAACATTAGAAAATTTCTTTCAAGAAAAAGAAGAACAAGATAAACATATGATTAAAAATCCTAGTCCTAATCCAAGTCCAGAAAGGTCTCAAAGCTCAGATGAAAACCACCTAAATTATCAAGATGCTCAAGATCCATACGAAGATGATTCAGGAATGAGTTTTGATTCAATAGCTCTACATAATTTAGACACGTAGAAGGAAGCAAGGTCTCAGTCAAAAGCAATTGAGAGCAGCAAAAACAAAGAAAGAGCAATAATGTTGGTATCCCACTAGGCGTGTCAATGCGAAAGATAATTAGAACTGACATAAAGGAAGAAGTGGCATAAAGAAAAGAAGACGTGACATAAAGAAAAAAAGAAATGACATAAAGAAAAGAAGATGTGACAAAAGGTAGTGCTGGTGGTGCTACAAGACAAGCTGAATTTTTGAGTGGAAGAAAAAGCTACAAGCACTAAGGGAATCTCTGCTCAAGCCATGTGAAGATGGGGCCCAATGAAGTACCCTACAAGGCTGGACAGATAATATTCTGTGATCATTGCTCATTAATGACAGAAGCCTTCAAACGAATAAACCAAAAGAATGAAATCCTGGCACAAGAAAAAGCAATACTTATGGAGCAAGTGAAGGTACTAGAACAAAGAGTACATGCATTAAGATTTGAATTGACACAATCCCAGACTCAACTTATTTCTCAACAAGACACAGAGATGAGCAGTCCAAAACAGAGTTCTCCATCTCAAGAAAAAATGGATGAGAAGGGTGTGCATTCCCCAATGAATGCAGCAAAATCTACTGTATCGGATGATGATACAGCTAGTCCGGTTCAAATGGTGACCGGTAAAGACACATCAAATCCGTTTATGGCTGTCACTTTGCCAAAAAGTGAAGATGAAGGTTCACCAGTCCTCAAAAGAAAATGATCGATGATAACTCGGTCAAACATATTGCCAGAAGAATCTCGGTGCGAGAAGGAGATAAAACCAAAATGATTAACCAATACTTGGAAGAAGTGAAACAAAATTTACTCGAGTCTCTTAATATGAGAAATCTAACACTTCAATGCGAAGTGAAACAAGCGGCGATGATATCGCGGGACGATGATTCCCAGCCTATGCAACCAGAGAAGATATTATCTGGAAAAGCCATAGTCAAATCCGTTTAAAAAACTTAGCTATAAAAAGGGGAAGAAAGAAAAAGAGAAGCAAGATAGAAGTCCAAGAATGAACACTCCTAAGAAAGCCATCCAAACACCGGTCTTACATCTAAGCCCATTTAGCAGAGTATGGACAGTCTCATACTGACTGTTAGTCTACGGTTGTTTATAGCCCTTTATATATATATATATATATATATATACACTATAAGTGGGAATAACCAGGCAGCTCATGGTCAACATGTCTGCCTGGCATAACGATATTTCTGGAATTTCATAATTTATATACTTCAAGGTGTTGTACTTTCTGGCTTTATTTCTTGTACACTTGATAAGTTTGTTGGAAGTGTGGGGTCCATCTCAACTTTCCATGCCACTTGTTACTGCAGCATTTTAAAACTGCCACTTACCGTCTAAGTGGATCCCTCTTCGGTTGTTTCAATCCACACTTACTAATATTTTAGCTCTCTGTTTGTTCTATATTTTGGCTATGGTATCTTTTTTATTTTTCACATTCAATATTATGTACAAAGCTTTATACTTTAACAAAAATATTTAAAAAAATCCATACGAAATAAAATCAAATAAAGGACTACATTTAATGCTCGTTTTACAGGTTTACATCTTACTTTTTAGATTATAGAATCAGGCTTCTGCTAATGGATTTATCTTCTCCCTTATGAGTAGGAGTAAAATATTCTGAATATTCCAAGAAAAGATTACAACTATGCAAAAATATTTCCATGGGCTAATAACTGTACTTACAAATGTCATTTTATTAAGCTAACTATATTTTTCCAAAATAAATGTTGCTTCGGGAAATTAAAACGATATTAGCTATGTTTTTCCAATTCTATTTTCGGTCTACTAAATTACCTACAGAGTATAATGAGTAATTTGACTGTGATATAAATATAACTTAATCAAATAAATCTTATAATTATTGTTTTATATGATTTTTTTATGAGCATAATTTTTTTTTAAAACAATAGTTATTTTAGACATGAAGTAATATTAAATGTGAATCTAATTATAGTTGTATTAGATAACATGACATTGCAACAAAAGAATATTGCAATGCTTATAAGTTATACGAAAATTTTATTACTCCGGCTAATTCGCACAACATGATCATGAGAAAACAAGCTCCTTTTAAATTTTAATTTTCAAGGTATAATTGAGACCAATGAATTCGGTCTAATTCTACCATACACATCTTTATGACTCCAATATTTAGATAATAGTGTTATTGGGCCCATGCTATCCCTCACTAGTATATATATACACACACACATATATATATATATATATATATATATATATATATATATATATACATATACACACACACACATATATATACATATACACATATATATGTATATATATATATATGTATATATATATATATATGCATCCAAATTTCTTCACCAGGCACCGAACTGTCAAGTTATTAACTTTTTAAGCACTTACTGCATTTTGGTATTAGGATCTGAGTGCTGGTTTTCCTACCTATGCTTTACAGGCAGCGCCTCAGAAGATCTGCTCACAAATCGGTCTATGCTCTTCTGATGGTAGTCGGGATGTTAGGTGAGGTTAAACATATCTGCAGTTCAACATTTTGCATTTGAAATGATTGTAATCAGAAATGGTCAAGTATACACATTCTCTCATCAATCCATCACCATCTTTCTCTAGTGAATACTGTTAGAGAAAAAGTGAACAATTTATTGTTACTTAAGTTGCTGCAGGTTCAGCTTGCTGCCTGTTTCAACACATTGTCCTTGACTTCATTGGTGTATTACTGGACTAATTATTAATATATAATTCTATGTGCCAGCATGATCATTGAGAGTGTGGTGGACAAACACAATGGGGCTTCAAATGGCTTGGGTGATGAGATGTGCAGGGTTTGTGAGATGGCTGTGGTATGGATGCAAAACCAAATGAGACGAAATGAAACTGCAGATAGCATCTACAACTATGTTAATCAGGTGAGGTAGATTTTATGCATTATGCAAACTGATTGTTGGTTAATTAGGATCTCAAGGCTTTAGTAATTCCAACTGCAGCTTTGTGACCAATTGCCCAGTCCAATGGGAGAATCTGCAGTTGACTGCAGCAGCCTTGCTTCCATGCCTAATGTTTCCTTTACCATTGGTAATAAAACATTTGACCTGACGCCACAGCAGGTAATTATTCATTCGATTTACTGATACGGTTTCTATTATTTTAGATAGTTGCTTCACAGCAACTTCGTTATCAACAAGTCTCATAGATAGTCAATTCAGCCAATTGTTTTCAAGAAGAATGAGCAATCTTTAGATTTCCTTGTTTTGTCTATCATTGAACCAACTGATGCTTTTCCGAGTTTGATTTAACGCTAGGATGAAGGCTTTTACTGTTCCAGTTTTGTATATAGGTCTCAAAATAGAACACTCTTTGACAAATATTTAGCATAAGACATCACATTGACAAAGCGCAAATATGCAGATGGGTAACATTCTTTTTTTGTTTGTTTGTGTGTGTGTTTGTTACTGAGCAGTATGTCCTTCAAGTTGGGGAGGGGCCTGTTGCACAGTGCATCAGTGGATTTACAGCTTTAGATGTGCCTCCTCCTCGTGGACCCCTTTGGTAAGCCTCTCTTGCTTTTGCTCTGTGCTCTCACTACTCACTAGAATGGTTGATTGATGCCACAATAAGCAGCTTTCTATGCATCACCTCAAAGAAAATTAGTTGAACTTCCTCTGTTGCAATTTATGTGATGCACTTTATTTTTTGTCTATCCTGAAAAGAATGATACCTTTCTATATTTTGGAACAATTTAACTTTAAACATCTTACTTTATCCTTAATGAGATGATTTATAGCCACAAAAAAGGGGCTTGTTCAGACCACAAGTTTAAAAGGTTTGTTTTTCTTTTTTTCTTAAATTCCGTACCGAACGGAGGAATTATTTCTTATGAGATGATTTATAGCCACAAAAAAGGGGCTTGTTTAGACCACAAGTTTAAAAGGTTTGTCTTTCTTTTTTTCTTAAATTCCGTACCGAACGGAGGAATTATTTCTTTTAATTACCTCAATGTAAATCATTCTCTTCAAGCATCTATTGGTAACTTCTTAGTCTAGCGCTAAAATTCAAGTATTATTCTTTCAAATTGCTGCTCTGCAAAAGGTCTTTCCAAACTATTCTCAGTGCTGAGTATCTACATAATATTCGGACTCGAAACTGGATGAGAGTTTTGGATAACAATGTTTTCAGAAGTTAACATAGGGGCTCTCCTGCAATTCGCCTCGGGACGAGGCAACCTCCCGAGGGCAACCCATCCACGCTTTATGCTTTGTATTGTTCGTTATGCATGCCATAAAAAGTTAACTAATCATTTATATGATTTTCTTCTATGCTCAAGAACCCTGGTGACTTGGAATATTAGTATACATATAATTATGCTTAAATAGTTAAATCTTTCTATGGATACTGGTTCATTTGACTTTGATACATCTGATAGAAGCTAGTTAGTCGATATAGTTGATACTCATTGAATGTCATGTGGTGCAGGATCTTGGGAGATGTTTTCATGGGTCACTACCACACTGTGTTTGACTATGGCAATTCGAGAGTTGGTTTTGCTGAGGCTGCTTGAGCGCCACTGTTTATCTCTGTGTTGACCCTCTTTACATATCACGTTATTTCAAATGAGACAATTGTTTTCCTTTAATATGTCTGCACTTGTAAATAAATAACTAAGCTTAAATCTTTTTACTGAATTTAAACACTAACAGCTGTTGTGTAATAACAATTACGTAATTGCTTGTGTTTCATAATTTCTGCTTAATTTTGACATTGTTAATTGTGCTGTAATTTGGTTCATATTTGGTATAAGGTGAAAACTTAACTGATGACTTAGGGTGTTTTCTGTTAAGTTAAATGTTTTCTTAGGCTGATGAAATAATTTCAGTTATGGTTTATTTAGGGTGTTTTCTGTATGAAGTTAAATGTTTTCTTAGGCGGATGAAATAATTTCAGTTATGGTTTTGCTTTAAATTGATGAAAATGTTTTCCAGAGGAAAAAGTTTACACCGAATGGGGGAAAACTCTGCAGTTATTTTATCTTTTGTTATATGTCTTGCTTCAGCAAACATGAAAGTAACATTGTCAATCTTTAGTGCTAGAAATTATCACCAATATATGATATCTGTCATATTCTTTGCATACTACTATTAAATAGTTACTTACCTGAAATACAAAAACACCAAAACGATTTAGAAAATTCTTGTGTAAGGTAAATGCTTTTAGCCTTTTACAAATGAATAGCTTTCATTGAAAACATTTTACGTTTCACCAAATACAAGTCAGTTGTCCAAAAATGGCATAAGTGAGAACTATAGCTTGTAAAAGTTGAGTACTTGGTTCACTGGCAGGCAGGTTAGTTTAGCCTTTGGCTGTCCAATGTGTCGATGCGGCCCATTCCGGTCCCGTCCCGGCTCACTTAGTCTTAACCGGGATTGGGCCTATAGTCAACGGGACATGGGCTGTCCATTTCATCTCGGTGGGCCGGCCCGTTGACGTCTTGTCCCGTCCTGTCAGCCCACGTGATTTTTTTTTGTTTTTGAAAAAGAGCCATTGGGCAACGACATTCCTTGCAAAATTAGTCGTTGCCAGTGGCTATAAACGGACATTCATTAGCGGATGACAACCTAGAGATTTCTGTCTTATTTGGAGATTGGATTAGTTAAGGAAAAAGAAATCTTGGTTTTGAAAAATTAACCACTAGAGAAGAAGAAGAATACAATATGAGATACTTAGCACTGGGAGTGATGACGACATGGAACTCATGGAACATTAATCAACATTGCCAATTCCAGAACAATGTCTGAAAGAAATTATAGATAAGTTACAACGAAGCTATATAGCAGCTTGCAAATATTAGTATGATTAGATTAGGTAAATTACAAGTCTATTATAATTACAAGTCTATTATAATTACTAAAATATTTCGTTACAAGTCTTTGTTTTAATATTTTGTAATTCTTTACTTAGTTTCTTTATAATTTATTAAGTTTTAAGTTTATTAAATAAGTCAAAAAACTAGCCATTGCAAACTTTAAAAATTTAATCATTGTCAATTTTTTTAAAAATAACCGTTTCTAATTATAAATAATTAGCCATTGCCAAATTTAAAGCTTAAACAATTATTTTTTTATAAAAAAAGTCCCAATTAGGACCCACGAACTGTTCCGTCCCATCCCATCTTGTTTGTTAGTGGGATGGGATGGGCCTATCGGGTTGTCCCGTTTATCCCTTACTTGTTTCATTTCCATTGTTAATAATATTGCACCATTAAATTATTCGTCTTGTTTCTTATTTATTCCAGTATGGCCTTGACCTGACCTCGTCACTACTCTATCGAGGTTAGGCTTGACACTTATTGTGTACCGTTGTGGTGTACTCATGCTACGTTTCTGCACATTTTTTTGTGCAGATCCAGATACCTCCTACCAGTCCAGGCATCAGTGAGCTGAGTTCATACTCGGAGACTTCAAGGTACACCTGTCGGCGTCCGCATATCTCGGAGTCACCTTCTATCTATTTCTATGCTTTCCTCCTTTTATTAGATACAATTGTATAGGATGACTATGATATCGTTGTAGAGCTCGTGACTCGATATCATCAGGTTTGGGAAAATTGTAAATGCTGAGATGTGGTGTTTCTTTATTAAAATTGCTGAGTATTCTTCTAATTATGATCAAAGTAGAAGAATTGTTTTGATAATGCCAAAGAATTTGTTTGATTCTCTGGGTTACAATACCAATTAGATTGATTTCTGACATATTCTCAGTTCTTTCTTGTGTAATTTTATGTTTTAAAAAAAATCAAATGATTCATGAATTATATTATTATTTCAAACCTTCTATGAAATAAAAAACTTAGTTTTTTTTTTTCAAACTAATCTTTTTGCAAGTTATTTCAGAACTAGCTTTCAAATTCCCCACCTATATTTCAATAACTGTCACAAAAACTTCCATATATTTTAGAAATCAACTTGTTACAAGTACACACATTAGTACCTAACTAAGCAGTATATTCAGTAAAATGCAGACATGAAAAAAGTTTATATACCAAAGAATTTTCTTTTTACTGTCACAAATATTATCTCTTGATTTTGAACTCATCTTTGATGCACGTCGATCTGTTAAGAATCTGTTACCATAAATAATCAAACTAACTTAAGAAGTATAACCTGGTTCAAAATACTTCTATCACTGTTAAATGAAAGTACTCTATATATTAAAAAAGAAATAAACGTTGGTTAGCTTGCGCTTTACAACAAAATAGGTGGCTTATTTTGTTTGCAGAGTGAAAAGTGCAGTTTTGGTGCAATTAGTTGCAACTTCTTTCTTAACCACTCACTTTTCATTTGATTAGAATTATATAAACTTCTTCTTCAAACCAACTCCATTTGTTTGTCTTTCGATTTTCAGAACAATTATTTTAGTTTCTTTTTTCACATTAAGATACACTAATTATTGCTGTGGCTTGAAAATGTGCAGCATGACTAGCGTGTATTCGAGACAACAACAACAGTCCAATGAATTTTCACAAGTGGGGTCTGGATTGGTTAGAATGTACGCAACCTTTACGTTATCCTGAAAGGGTAGAGAGATTGTTTCCGATCGGTTAAAAAAGTGTATTTAAGACACGCTTCAACAATTAAAAAAAAGAAGGAAATAAGGTATATTTCAGTATTTGTAATTAAATATTTATACATATTTAATAATTTTTTAAAATATAAATACGTAATCTAAATAAAAATTATTGGGTTCTTAAAAGTAGTCGAAAATATCTTTTTGCCCCCTTAATATCCAAAAGAATAGAGTAGTCCACTTGAGGAAGTTGGGAGGCATGACAAATGACTACTTATATATTTGTTATACCTTTTTTATATGAAGTATCTTGGTTGAAAAAAATAAATACTTTTTTTGGTTCAAATATTGGACCACCAATTGAACATACAAAATTTGAATGAGTGCCAAAAGAAAATAACATAGTCATAATTCATTAGCAAGACTGATGTCATTGGAAAGTTGTATCAAATTTTTTTTATGTTTATGGGCAACTATTTTGATAATTGAAAATCTTCTGGTTTTGATTTCGTAATTGTTAGAATCTATCAGAAAAAGTGACGGAGATAATAAATAGTAGGATGTGCTACCCTAAAAAAATTATCTATGATTATTTCTTTAACATGGAAAAGAGTAGGTGCACCTTTTGTAAACGTGACAAACAGAACAAAGGGATAAGGAAATAATGCAAAAATATCATCTTCCTTGAAAGCTGAGATATTCCCAAATGATTGTTTGTTAAACCATAAACTCTTTTTGTTAATGACGTTTAACAATTAATCAACTGCTTTCTTTTCATGGAAAAATATTTTACATCTGAAAAGAAGAATATAGTGAATAAGTAAATCTAACGTTTGCCAAATGTAAAGTCCCATCAAAACGGGAAATACCTAAGCTACCAACCTAATCTCCAAAATAAGTCAAGATGTAATCATCAAACAAGTTGTTTGTACACTAAATCACGATTTTCAGGTTAATCTAATCAATTTTATCATAACCAACTTCCACATTTATGCTCTTACCAAACTAAATCTACTGCCGACTAAACTACGTTCCAGTTCCACATTGTTATTCATAATTTCTCCCCTTGTTTTAGTTTGCTATTGCTATATATATGGCTTTTTTCCTTTTTTGTCCGCGCAAGAAACTATTTATATTTGGTAGCAAAAAAATGTATAAAATTTGTATAATTTTTATATATAATATAGAAATGTATATATATACAAAACATATACATTTTTTCAGCTATTATTTTGAGAGCGACTATACAGTGTCATTTTTCTAAGAGATTTTTACCTAGCTATACTATATTAAAAATTTATTTACCTATGTTTTCTATGTTTTGCAGTTTTTAATAAATATCTAGGTTTTTCTTACAATTTGTATACATTGCTTCTTAAAGGCTTCCACCCCATTATTAATGCCTTCAATTAAAGGATTCAATTACATCATTTCCTCTCTTTTTTACCTTCTCCTCTTCTCTCTCCTTTTTAAAAAAAAAATCAAAATACCTTAATCTATGTCCATAATCTTCATCTTCTCTCTTCACCATTGCCTACAACTTTATATTATTAAAAAATATTCATAAATTATATGATAACTGTATCATAATTGTAGTTGAATTGTATCAGATACATCAATATCTAAAACACAAATGTATTATACTTGTATCACAATTGTATCTAACTTGTATCTGGTACATTAATACCCAAAATAATACATGATACAATACTAATAAATTAATATACAATTATCATATTTGTGATACAAATTGTAAAATTTGTCATGAATTTACAACTGCTCGTAACAATATATAATGAATATATAATTACCATACATTTGTAATACAATTCCTGCAAGAATTATGATATATATACAATTATAATACAATCGCGATACATTTCTGAAAAATTGTAATACAATTATTATCTTCATTTTCCTCAAGTTTCAATCATAACTCTACACTAAAAATTTAATATAATAGCATTATAATTGTATTAGTATTGTATCCACAACTTACCCACAACTTGATTATAGAGCAAAATTTTGAATTTCTTCTATATTGAGATTTTGGATGATTGAAAGAGAGAAATCGGATATCAAATGCTTTGGAAGAAGAAAGAATTTGCAATTTTTGGGGGATAACAGTTGATGATTGAAAGAGAGAAATCGGATATCAAAACCTTTGGAAGAGGGGTGAGTAAGCGAGATTTTTGGGTTAGAAAGATTTTGGACATCAGTAGGTAAGGGAGAATTCTTACGGTGAGTAAGTATAAATTTGGGTAATTGTTAAAGAAAGAGAGAAGATGTTTTTGTAATCCTTTGGAAAAGGAAGAGAATCTTAAATGTAGGGGGATTATATGTAACTGATACGTTATATTTAAGGTACGTTACATTTACTCTTTTTTATGATTTTGTATAAAACTAGTAAATATAGGTATATAAAGTAATTAACAAGAAACCTCAACAAAAGTAGTAAATAGGTTTCTATCATAGTATAGCTAGGTAAAAATCCTTTTTTTCTAATAACGACAATAACAATGGCTGTAAGCCTGTTAGAGGCCAAGCCCAACTATTAATAGCCGAAAAGGCTACCGCTTGAGAAAAATAGCTTAAGAACAACGTCGTCAATAGTGCTCCCTTTGTTTACCAAAAAAAAATGAACCTATTTTCTTTTTATATACTTTCAAAAAGAATGATTCGTTCCTAAATTTTTAAAAAATGTAACTTTAAACTTTTCATTTTATAAGATGATTTGTAGTCACACAAATATCCATGGATTATTCTGGACCACAAGTTTCAAATGTCGCGTTAAGTCTAATAAGTTCAAACAAATTGAAATGGAGGGAATAGGAAAATTCTAGCGCATGATTTTAAGTTCAAGGTTGATAGAATAGTATTTCAAGAGTATTTAGGACTATCCCGATAATTGAGGAATTTATTACCCTAATAAGTTTTTTTTTTTTTTTTTATAATTGAGGAATTGTCCCCTCTTACTGCTTTTAGTTTAGTTTCTTGCCGATATTACCCAATATTTTTTCAACATGGACTGAACCAAAGGCCTAACAAATGGTAATTGTTCCTCCGCCCCCGTCTACCTGGCTATTTCCGGCATTCAGGGAAGGTTTTTGCCGTCACTTGCGACATTAGTACTACTACTACGCAAAGTATTTTTTCTATAATAGATAAATCCTGAGAATTAAAAGTTTAAAGATCAAAATTTGAATTTCTCCACTGTTCACAAGAGATAACAGAAAAGTCATTTGAATATTATGTTGGATTTCTTTGCATTCCTTCTTGTTTAATGGCTCAGGAACCTGAATCTTCTTCTTCGGTTTCTTGTAAACCTCACACCTTTGGGAGAAACAAATACTCCATATCTCTATTGGCTTCTGTTTAGTACCAAAATTTACAGCAAAATTGTTAGCTGTTTCTTTCCAACACCAGCTCTCAAATTTCATAATCATGACAGTTAGGAAAAAGCTGTCATTGCTTCGTCTTTCTGTTAGTTATTCGCTGCTTCTTCTAAGTGTAATCCATCTCTCGTCGTCCCATCTCCACTTCGGTTCTCCTGACTTCAAACCCAATTCTCTTACCCTTTGCACAGCAGAGTCCATTGAGCTAACTGTTTGTATTGAACAAAAGTCCATGGTTTCTGTTTCCTCCACTGAATTCCAAATGTCTTGATCAAGAATGCTCGTTGGGGAGCTTGTAACAAAATCTTGATTCGAATTGGATGTTTCCTCAAGAAATGGATGCTTGAGAAGTTCTTTAGCCGTCCATCTTTCTCTTGGATCTCTTCTCAAGCATTTGCTTAAGAAATCCTTTGCTTGTAAAGACAGAAACTTTGGAATTTGGGGGGATTGCCCTGAAAATGCAATTTTGTAAAGCAATGAAGCTGAATTAGTCACATTAGTCCAAGGTGATCCACCTGTGGCCATTTCAATAATTGTACATCCTAATCCCCATATATCAGCTGCAAACCCCTGTTCTTCCCCACGCGCCACCTCCGGTGCCATAAACATCGGCGTGCCGCCAATTGGCTGGGCGGATGCAGCAGCGTCCCTCTCCGCCTGATCAACCCGCCTAGCACAACCAAAGTCTGCAATTTTGGCACCGGTTTTACCTGACAAAATGTTGTGTCCCTTAATGTCACAGTGTACTACGCCTCTTGAATGTAGGTACTCTACTCCTTGCAGAATTTGCTTGGTATAATACCCGATTAACGACTCGTTGATCTGACCACCCTGTTTCCGGATTTCATCAGTAAGTGTACCGTCAGACATGTACTCCATCATAAGATTAAACATGAATTTGTCGTTCTCCTTTGTAACATCATACCCCTTGTAGCTAACTATGTAAGGGGAACTCAATTCGGACAAAATTTTCTGTTCTTTTTGCAAGAACTGAGACTGGGATAATTCCACTGACTTAACAGCAAAAATCTCTCTGGTCCAACGTGACTTAGCAACAAAGACGGCGGCGGAAGAGCCGTGGCCTATGGTTTGGCCTCTGGTCCAATCCATTTTAGAAGAAGAAAATTGGTTACAGCAAACTAGGAAGTGTAAGAAGTTTCAAAAATGAATTCTGTTTATGGTTTTTGAGAAGCTGCAAGAAGGTATATATTAAGTACTTTATAAGCATGTAATAAAGTGAATGTTCGAAACTCCAAATTGGTTGGTTAGACTAAGGTTGCCACTCTTTTTTTCTCTAATAATTATAAAAAGATTGCTTTAACGGAATTTACAACGTGGCGAAATGGTTGTCGCAATTCGGCAGCTTGATTAGGCTGGAGGGTTACCATTACTTGGCCAATTGGGTTTGCCACGTCGCAAGATTTTGCATAAGGAGGTGGCGAAGTGCATATCAATTTACCCAAAAAGAAACAAGTGCATCTCAATTTAATATGTTTAAATTTTCAATTTATATTTGATTGAAAGAAGTTAGATTGGGTAAATTGAATTAGGATCCTTTGTTTTGCATAGGATTTACTGAACTTTGACGATTAAATTCAGGGGTTGAGGAAGGTGTTTGATGAGTATCTTGTCATGAGAAAGTTGAAAACCAACACCACATGCTGCTGAATTCTTGGGAATATTCCACATTTTGGTAGGCATTGAGTTCAAGTGGAGTTTGAACTATTTCACTTGTTACATGTGTATCCACCAAATTTACTATAATACTTAAATTCTAAGAACGGAACAGTTGTTTCAGTGTGATTTATAGGTCAAGGGTTCAGTCACTAATATTTGTATTAGGTAGATTGTCTATGTTATACCCTTTTGGAGTGTGACCTTCCCTAACCCTGTGTGAACGCGAGATACTTTGTGTACCGAATTACCTTTTTTTAAGAACCGGAAAAGCATCAAGTCAATCGAAAAAAATGGCAAATTGTAGAATTGGAAAGTCTTTAAATTCTTGCGGAAAATACAGGAAGTGGAAAATTAAACTACGCTTCCAGGATTATAATCATTTTTATAATCTTGAAAATATTTAATCCTTCAAAAATAGACAGTGTGTCACGACTCAAAATTCTCAGCCTCGGGATCCTGATGATGCCTAATATTTCGCTGACTAGGCAAACTAATGTTAGAATAATTTTAAGTCATTTTTAAACAAATCAACTTAACTGATGCCAATTAAACTGAAATAACTGAAATAAAACAGAAATAAAGTGCACAAAGTCATAATAAACGAAATATCTAAATACAACCCCGGATCTGGTGTCACAAGTGCACGAGCTACTAGAATAATACAAATAATGGTCTGAATGAAAATAAAGTTGTATGAAAAGAATACACAGCTAGGATAAGGTAGAAGGGAACCTTAGGGCTGCAAACACCGAGCAGCTGTACCTCAAATCTCCATACAATAGTCCACTCGAGCAATCTACTGATCGCCGCTGTGACCGATATCAAAATACGCACAAGACGTGCAGAGTATAATATGAGTACAACCGACCCCATGTACTCTATAAGTGTCGAGTCTAACCTCGGCAAAGTAGTGACGAGGCTAAGACGTGTCACTTACAATAACCTATACGCAGTATAATAATAATGGTAGGAAAGGAAAATACAGGGAAATAAGGCAGTTAACTCATGAAAATAACTCAATCCTTGAAAATCAGTAAAACCAGAAATACCAATCTTCAGAACCTCGTACGAAAACACCGAAAACAACATAATACAATAAGGAATACAAAACACACAAACCGTTGTTGTCACGACCCCGGTTCGCCCTCCGTGAACCATCGTGACGGCACCTAGTCTCTACGACTAGGTAAGCCTAAATTGCGGAAGATAAACTAAGTTGCGGAAGAAAATAATTTAAAATAGAAATAGAGTGATATAACAACGTTTAAAAGTGCCGCTCGGCATACACAATATAAATCCTCAAAACTAATACATTTTTCCAAAACCCGGAAACCTATGAATCCACAAGCCTTGGAATGTCTACCAGTGTCCAACTCCAGAATATCTAACAAGGAAAAGGAAATACAAAAGGGCTAATATAATAGGGAGAGTAGAAAGGGACTCCTCGGTCTGCGGACGCGACAGATATACCTCGAAGTCTCTAGAATAGTTGCTTCGCCTCAAGGGTGATAGGACTAAGTCAAAGTACCTGGATCTGCACATGAAAAACATGCGCAAAAAGGACATGAGTACACCACAACGGTACTCAGTAAGTGCCAAGCCTAACCTCGGTCGAGTAGTGACGAGGAATGTCAGGGCCCTACTGAGGTTAAATAAAATATAAAGTTCAACGGTGTAGAACAGAACAATATAAATAAGTACAACAATAAAAGTAACACAAGATATAAAGGGTAACAACAACTATTACAGAGACAAGGTAAACACAGAAAGAAATACGGTTCAGCACCAAAATAACAATCAGGGATCTCCCAGGATACCGTCCTGTAGTCCCAAATCTACATATCCAATGGATCTCCCGGGATCCCGTCCCGTAGTCCAACTCATAGTGCGCGAGGATCTACCGGAATCCCGTTCCGTAGTCTCAAATATAAATACCCAATACTGGGGGAATCTACTAGGTGCATTCCCGTAGTTTCATATAACTATGCAGGGGGATCTACCGGAATCCCACATCCGTAGTCCCAAAATAAACAGACAAGGGGAACTACCAGAATCCCACATCCGCAGTTCCAATGTAAATACACAGCAACAACAGGAAAATATTCAGAAATGACAAATTTCATATTACAGCAAATAAGTAATTCTATCCTAGCATGCTGCACAGAATTCAGGTAAGGCAGTTTGAGAAAGTAAAGCATTTAAGCCACTTAGACATACTTTCCTAAGCTAAATACATGCTTAATAGTGCAAGTAGTAAAAACAGGAAAGGAAACATACTAGTAATTACTTAATGAAAACCAGATTTCCAACAATTAGCACAAGTATGCACTCTTTACCTCACGTACAAGGCATTTCAATTACCAAATATACCAAATCCTAAGGGGAAGGTCCCCCACACAAGGTTAGGCAAGCCACTTACCTCGAACCAGCTTAAAATCAACTCGAAATCACGTTCTTGCCACGAGTATTCGACTCCAAATGGCCCAAATCTATTCAATTCAATTGCATAATGTAAATAACACTTCTAGTAACTGATCTACAATTAAATTCTAAGCTAATATACGAAATTAGGTAAAATAACCAAAATGCCCCTCGGGCCCACGTCTCGAAATCGAGTAAAATTTATATTTTAAGAATCCTCACACCCTCACGAGTTCATGCATACCAAAATTATCCAAATCTAAGGTCAAATTCCCAATCAAAAGTCGAATTCTACGTCTAAGAACTTTCTTCCAACTTTTCCCCAATTTTTCACCTCCAATCCGAAATTAAATGATGAAACTAACTATAGATTGATGGAATATAATTAGAAAAGGTTAAAGAATTGTTACCCAATGACCTCCTCTTCAATTTCCTCTCAAAATCGCCCTCTCCCGAGATCTAAATCGAATTTCCAACTTTTGAAACTAAACCCTCGAAATTTCATATTTCTGCCCAGCTATTACTGCATCTGCGGTCAAGGGACCGCATCTGCAGTCTCACTTCAGCGGAACAATGGCCGCACCTGCAACCTTTCACTTAAGGCCAGCTTCCGCATATGCGACTCCACATCCGTAGATGTGGTACCTTTTCTGCGGAAATTCTACCGCTTCTGCGGCTCCTGTTGAACCTCCCCATTTCCGCTTCTGCGACCAGAGAGCCCCTTTTGCGGTGCCTCACCTGCGGTCCCACACTCGCAAGTGCGGTTATGACAGAAAACCAGTAGCCTGCAACTCCAAACTCCAAAATCCTTCCGTCAACCATCCGAAATTATCCCGAGGCCCCTAAGACCTCAACCAAAAACACCAAAAAGTCTAATACTACTGTCCAAACTTATACCAATCCTTAAAACACCTAAAACAACGTCGAAACGACAAATCAAACACGGATTCAAGCCTAAGAACTCCAAAACTCTAGAAATACGCTTTCGATCAAAAAGTCTATCAAACCTCGTCCGAATGACCTGAAATTTTGCACACACGTCACATTCAAATCTACGGAGCTACTCCAACTTCCGGAATTCCATTACGACCCTTGGATCAAAATCTCACTATCGGACCGGAAACTTCAAAATTCGACCTTTCGGCATTTCAAGCCTAAATTAGCTACGGACCTCCAAAACACAATCCGAACACGCCCCTAAGCCCTAAATAACCTAACGGAGCTAACAGAACTATCGGATTTCCATTTCGAATCCACCTTCACACTGCTCTGACTACGGTCAAATTTCCAACACTTAAGCTCTCATTTAGGGACTAAGTGTCCCAAAACTCTCCGAAACTCAAAATCGAACATCCTGAAAAATCAAAATAGCAAAAATAAACACGAGGAAAGCAGTTAATAGGGGATTAGGGCGTAAATTCTTAAGACGACCCGCCGGGTCGTCACATTCTCCTACACTTAAATATTCGTTCGTCCTCGAACGAGCATAGAGACATACTTGAAGTAGTGAAAAGAGGAGGGTAACGACTGTGCATATCTCGCTCGGTCTCCCAGGTCACCTCCTCGACCATATGACCTCGCCACTGAACCTTTACTGATGCAATGTTCTTTGACCTCAACTTTCTAACCTGCCTGTCCAATATTGCCATTGGATCCTCAACATAGGATAGATCCTTGTCCAACTGGACTGAACTGAAATCCAACACGTGCGACGGATCACTGTGATACCTTCGGAGCATCGAAACATGAAATACCGGATGAACTCCGGCCAAGCTGGAAGGTAAGACAAGCTCATAAGTAACCTCCCCAACATGCCTCAATATCTCAAAAGGGCCAATAAACCTCGGACTCAACTTCCCTTTCTTCCCAAATCTCATAACGCCCTTCATAGGCGAAACCCAAAGTAGAACCCGCTCTCCAACCATATAGGAAACATCACGAACCTTCCAGTCTGCGTAACTCTTCTATCTGGACTGGGCTATACGGAGTCTATCCTGAATTATTTAACCTTCTCCAAAGCATCCTGAACCAAGTCTCTGCCCAATAATCTAGCCTCACGCCGCTCAAACCAACCCACCGGGGATCAACACCATCTCCCATATAAAGCCTCATACGGTGCCATTTGAATGCTGGACTG